TGCTGATGATGATGATGATGATGATGATGATGATGATGATGATGATGGTGGTACTGATGAGGACGATGGTGAGGCTGGCGATGAGTATGCCGCGCGACCTGCTGCTGATGATGATTGCGATGACCCTCATTATCATCCTCATCATCATCAGCAGCATCGTCATCGTCATCATTACCATCATTGTACGACTCATCAAGGTCTTCATCATTACCACCATCACCATCACCACCAACATCATCATCAGCAGCAGCAGCGCCAGCATCTGCAGCAGCACCATCATCCTCATCATAGTGGTGATGATGATGATGATGCTGATGATGATGCTGATAATGATTATGATGAGGATGAGGATGAGGATGAGGATCATGATGATGATGATGATGACGACCAGCACGATGATGATGTTGATAATGATGCTGATGCTGCTGATGATGATGATACTGATGATGATGATGATGATGATGATGATGATGATGATGACGACAATGACGGCGATTATGATCATGATGACGATGATAATGACGATGACGATGATGATGATGATGATGATGATGATGATGATGATGATGATGATGAGGATGAGGATGAGGATGAGGATGATGATGAGGATGATGACGCTGATGCTGATGCTGATTGCGATGATGGTGTTGATGGTGCTGGTGATGGCGATGGTGGTGGTGATGATAATGCTGCTGCTGATGATGGTGATGATGCTAGTCAGGGCGGTGAGGATGATGCTGATGCAGATGACGATGAGCCTGCTGCTGTTGCTGCTGATAATGAGGATGATGAGGATGACGGTGACGACGACGTGGCGGTTGTGATGCGGATTGTGTACCAGGCGGCCAGCGGTATGAGGCGCCGAAGCTCGGCCCGAGAGGCTGCAGCCCGCAGCCATCCTGCCAAGAGATTACTTCTTGTGCTTGTGGCGGTCATCACCAACCGCACAGATTGATGTTCCTGGCTGGAGGCTCGATTCTGGCAGCACGGCATAAGGATGATCTTTCGGCGGTATGAGTGGATTTCTTGGATCGGCGCCGGGCCCCTCCAGCGGCGCCCCCGGCGCCGCCCATGGCGCACTCCGTGCGCCAGGGAGAGGGTCGAGCGCCGAGCCAGTACATTCCGCGAGGACCTCCGAAAGTTTGTGTTCATGACGCGCTTCCTTCGTTTTTTTTTTTTTTTGTTCTCTCTCTCTCTCGCATTCTATCTCTCTGTCTCTATCTCTCTCTATATCTCTCTCTCTCATTCTATACTCTCTCTCTCTATATATGTATATATGCGCAGGTTCTGCCCGCCAGCCTGCGCGAGTCACCCAGAGCATGGCCTGGCCAGGCCCCTCGACGCCTCGGTCGAGCCGTGCGGCCACAGGCCCGTGGAGCAGTGGCAGCCCCGCGTGTTGCACTGTACTCCGCGCCCGTGGGGCGCGTGCGGGGCGAGCGATGCCCCACGTGCGAGCTCTGGGGAATACAGTCGGGGCGCTGACCTCATGAGCCCTAAATAAGGAACGAGGCCCCTTTTCTCCAGAAGTTGAACTTCGATTTCCCTTCGGAAACCAAAGGAAAATCCAAGGCAAACTGTGGGACGCGTGCGAGGCCGGATGCCCCACTAAAGCGACGCGAAGATCGGGACAAAATCGGATCGGGATAACTCGAAATCTCTGGGAATCGGCGGGTTTGGAGGATGTCTTGGGCGCCGCGGCCGCTCCAGAGCGTTCCGGAACGCTCTGAGAGCGCTCCGGAACGCTCTGGAGCGATTTATCCCGATCCTAGCCCTGTTTTACCCACGTGCCAGCTCTGGGGAGTAGCGCCGAAAGGGGAGGGCTCGGGGGCCACTGATGCCAGACGAGGGCCCGCCAGCCACGCACACAGCACAGCGGCCTTCGGCTGCGGGACACTGGAGGGGCAGCGTCTGCACCTGCAGTGCTGGCCGTCACGCGCTACGTCCGGGCTTGGTCTCTGCCAGAGGTCGCTGCAGCTCCTTGGCACGCAGATCGGAGGGCACCAACTATACACCAACACCGATCCTGGCCCAGGATCACCCTGGGCCCAGGATCGGTGTATATACCTTCTTGCGCAAGGCAGGAGGGCGTATACACCGATCCTGGGCCCAGGGTGATCCTGGCCAGGATCGGTGTTGGTGTATAGTTGGTGCTTTCCTAGTAGAGCGCCCGCCGTATCCGCGGCTCGAGAGGGCGGTCGCTGCTGCTGCGGAGGTCCCTCCTCCACTGCCGCCCAAGAGGTCGCCGCGGCTCTGCCGCGAAGCAGAGTGGGCGATGCCCTCGCTCCAACTCGCCGGCCTGGCCTCGTGCACGGGCAGCTGCACGTGCTCATCTGCACGAACGAGATGGGCACGGAAAGAATGGGTACGATGCCCAACAGCAGCTCTTGTTCATGTTGAACAGGACTCGCTGTCCGCGCCGCCGCGGCCTGTGTCCATCTGAGACAGAAGGCCGCCTGCCCAACAGCGGCCGCTGTTGGTTTTGGACAACGTTTGTCGTTGGGCATCGCCCCCATTTTTGTCCGTACCCATTTCGGGCGTCTAAAGCTCGGCGCACAAGTCGGCCAGGACGTCTGGCCGATGCCCCCGCAGCGATGGCGTCCGCCGTGTGGCGCTCGACCTCGATCAGCTCCATCGAAGAAGAGCACACGGCATCACCGTACGCTTTAGCGCGCCAGGGGCGGCGCCGGAGGCGCCTCCAGGGGGGTGGGGCTCAGCTCAGATCCAACAAATCTGGGCGGATCTCCGAAATGTTATATTCATGCGGTTTCTCCTCCACTCCAGCTCCTTGCTCGCGATGGCCTTCTTGACTCTTGGCCCAGAGGTCGACGTGCGACTTCTGCATCCGACCACGGCGTGGCCTCCTCCTGCCGCGCGCCGCGTGCACCGAGCTGACCACGTGCTTGATCTCGGTGAAGCCCTGCGCCGCCGTGAGCAGATGAGGCAGCGCCGCAAAGCTCGCCGCGGTTAACGGTGGTGGTGCTGAGTCTGACGAGGAAAATGACGACGATGAAGATGATCTCGGCAGTGGTTGTGGTGATGGTTGTGGTGAGGTTGGCGGGTGGTGTTGGTGACGATGGCGACGATGACGGTGATGATGATCGGGACGATTGTGATGATGTTGAACATCATGGCGACGCTTATTTCGACGACGATGGCAACGTTGGTGGAGATGGTGTCCAGGACTCTGACGCTGGCGCGCGGGACGACGCTGTTGACGATGATGCTGACGATGATGATGACCAAGATGATGATGCTGCTGATGATGATGAAGATGATGCTGGTGCTGATACTGCTGATTAGGACGATGATGATGCCCATGCCGATGATGATGATGCTGCTGATGATGATGATGATGATGATAATGATGATGATGATGATGATGATGATGATGATGATGATAATGATGATGTTGCAGACGATGATGAGGATGATTATCATGACGAGGATGATGATGATGATGATGCTTCTGAGTATGATGATGATGCTGATAATGATGACGTCTTTCATTGCCACTATCACGCTGGCGATGATGCTGCTGATGATTACGATCCCTATGACGATGGTGATGAGGATGATAAGGTTGAGGAGTGTGATGCTGTTGATGTTGCTTATGGTGCTGTCGCTGATGGTGATGAATATGCTGATGATGGCGATTGTGAACATGATGAGGATGATGATGCTGCTGATGATGATGACGATGTGATGCTGATGATGACTATGCTGATGATGCTGATGATGGTGGCGGTGGTGACGATGAGGATGACGATGATGATGATGATGATGATGATGATGATGATGATGATGATGATGATGATGATGATGATGATGATGATGATCATCATCAGCATGATGATTATGATGGTTGTGGTTGCGGTGCTGGTGATAAAGGTTATGGCGATTGTACTGGTGATTGTGATCGCGATAACGCTGATGATGCTGATGATGGTGATGATTCTGATAATAGCGATGGGGATGGTCATGGCGATGGTGGTGGTGGTGGTGATGGCTACGACGGCGGCGACAACTATGATGGTGACGACGGCGACGATGACAATGGTAACGGTGACTACAATAGTGATGGTAATCAGGGATGCGGAGGAAGGAGGAAGGGGAGGAGGGCGAGTGGGGAAGAGGCAAAGGAGGATGGGGAGGGGGAGGATAAGTAATAGCAGGAGAAGGAGAGAGGAGAGAGGAGGGAGGAGGGAGGAGGGAGAGAGGGAAGGAGGGAGGGAGGGAGGGAGGAGAGGGGAGGGGAGGGGAGGGGAGGGGAGGGAGGGGAGGGAGGTAAGCTAGGTGCGCTCGCGTCATATCTGACATCCTACCCCTCCCTCCCATCCCTTACCATGGCGCAGATCCCCTCTCTACTCGCTCAGTCGGATGTCGAGCAGGGCAATGATGGGTACGCGATGCATTGTAAAGCACGGCATGGCATGGCGTAGAAGAGCACCGCAAAGCGTAGTATCAACCTAGCATTGCAGTGCATGCCGTGGCATGGCACGGGAAATGACGCCAGCGCTGCAGCGGGAGCAGCAGTCGAAACGAGCGGAAGCGCGGAAATGAGGCCAGCGCTGCGGCGGGAGCACGATTCGGAACGCGCGGAAGCACGGAAATGAGGCCAGCGCTGCAGCGGGAGCACGATTCGGAACGAGCGGGGCCCGAAAATGAGGCCAGCGCCTCAGCGAGAGCAGCATTTTGAGAAAAAATGCAGGCGAAAACCCAACTCCGGGGAAACCTGTGTGTAAAAAACAACACGCGGGGGGGGGGGTCGGACACTCCCAGGCCGTCATCAGGGGAAGAGGGAGAGTAGTATTCAGATTGAG